GTAACAGTCTTTTTTTTGGAGGTGGCCAGCATAGCCCTTAATGCTGAGGAATATAAAAAGTTACCAATTTCAAAAAAAAAATTATATTTCTGGTTGCCACTTGCCCACCTTACTGATATTTTATAAGCTTTATGGTTGATTCATAATCTTCTATCAAACAACCACTATATACAATCATTAAGCTTAAATAGTTTAACTATTTGTGTTAATTTTAGTTGGTTTTCTTATCTTGTTGGCTTATCATGTAAATACAATCATGATTTTGAAACCTTGATATTGGTCTTTTTTTATCCTTTTCTTGCTATCAACCGTATATTAGGTACGTATCTTCGTTATTTTACTAATATTTCTTCTCAAACTAGTAATAATCATGTACTCAGGCTGGGGATCTGAGTTAGCTGCTGAGAAGAAGAAAGGTTTTGATTGGATGAAGTTGATGAGGCCAATAAATAAATAGAAAGATCACTGGGTTAGATTATAATCTAACGACTATCTATTTCCCTACTTATTGCAGTATTTTCTTCTATTTCTTCTGAATGAAACTTGTGCAAGGATATAAGTTTGGCAACTCATCTATTTTCTACTATCTTCGTTTTTTCTCATACAGGTTCCCGATGAAGCAATTCGAAAGTGCACTGCTTGTGGGACGAATTTTAATGCTTTTGTACAAAGGGTAAGCATTTATTCTAACTGTTTTATGTGGTTTAAATGTCTCATTTGTATCTTATATTGCATGTTTGTATAAATTTGTTACAGCACCACTGCAGAAATTGTGGGGATATTTTCTGTGACAAATGTACTCAAGGTAGAACTGCTTTGACTGCAGATGAAGATGCCCAACCAGTTCGAGTTTGTGACTCATGCATGGTATGCCTGCATCAAAATATCTCTACCAATGACTTTTTCTAAGTGTCTTTGTTATTTTCATCTTAGCACTCTTTTCTAGCACATAGGATTGAGTCATGCCTTTTTCCCAAAAACACTCTTTATTTCCTCGCAATTTTGGTGGAATGAGCTCTCAATTGACTAATCAGGATCATGTATTTTGGTTCTGTTTGTGGGAAGCCTGAATAAGAGCTTTAATACTACTGTCCATTGCCATTGAAGAATTCCTCTTTTGCAGAAAAAACTCGGCCTCTTACTAATCAAGTTTGCTTATTGAACTTTTGCCATATTATTCCTAAAGTGATTATATTCATTCAAGCTCGTTCTTCATCCTTAGCCTTAATATGGCTAGTGAGCAAGTCACTAAGGCCTCACACTCTGGACTGAGTTGGTCCAGATCTGAAGTGACTCAAATATGATGTCTAGTGTCGGGTGTTATATGTCTATTCTTCATAAAAATTGGCTGTTAACTGATTTGAAAGTTTAATAGGAAGACAAAATGGAAAGAGTAGAATGTCAAACATGTAGAGGTGTAGAAAGTGTTATTGAACATTCATTGTAGACTTCTTTAACCACTGAAGTTAGGTGCAAAACAAACTTTGCGCTTTTCCCGTGAGCACCAATTCATGCAGCAAGGTGCTAAAGAGTGTATCTCATCCAAATGATAGCTGCAATACAGTTCTAATTTTTTCAATTCCTTTTGTCTATATAATCATCTTTATGCTATAGTTGTTATTCTTAGAATAGTTGTTATTCTTAGAATCATATACAATGTCAAAAAAACAAAAAAACAAAAACTCTTAGAATCATATGTATCTTTTTTTCTTTCTTCATTTTCTCCTTTTTTTGGTCAATACCTGGGGCTTATTTGTGCTTTGGGCTTAAATTCCAACAAATCTCAGTACCTCTTTTTCTTTTGGCTTGTTGAAAGTTCTTTTTTTTGGGGGGGGGGGGGGGGGGGGTCGGGAGGTGGGGGAAGAGCAAGGGTATATTATTGGGATGGAATTTAGAAAAATGTGAACTACTTTTATGTTATAAGTCATTAAAGAAACTTTCTACGACAGAGTTATAAAAGGCCATAATTTATGTGCGTACGATTTTGCCAAAAAGAACCCTTTGGTTAATCATTAAGAAATTGGAACTTGTCAAAAATGTTCATTGAGATTAGAGATGTGATGCTCAACTACCTCGTTGAGCTCATTTAGGATGTAAATGCATGTGCTTCTATCTATCTAACCATGTCAAAATATAGTGGTGGTTTCTCGTTGACGATTTTTTCATACGGTAAATATCGTATCATTAATTACGGAAATCTCTTGTATACAAGAAAGTTTAGGTAGAGAAATACAAGGATATTCCCCATATGTACAATATTGTTCTTTTGCACAATCAAATGTTTTTCTATTCCTCTCTTTGCAAGAAGACCCACATAAGAAGAAGTAGTGGGGAACAATTATATGCTCCTGGTTACTTGATCAAAAAAATAAATGAATAATGTTCTTGGTCTTCTCTTCCTCCTTCCATAGGCCCAACTGTGTAGTTCTTCCCTTCACCTGACAATCTGCAACATCTCTCTTCCCTTAGACCTGACAATCTGAAATCATTCACTGTACATCAAACTAACTAAATATCATCTACCAAAACCATGTTGCCACCTTGCGATGTAATAGAAAGTGGTCCTTGAGTTTGCTTGAGCATTTGCACATAAAATACTAAAGTCAAACTCATCGGTGGCCACCTAAAGTTGGCACCAATTTTTATTTAGACACTTTAACTAGACTTTGTTCATTTTAGACTCCTCATGTCACCTATTGTGTCATTTTGACATTTTTTGCTGGGTTGGCATATTGCGTGCGATACACTGGTTTTGAGCTCGTGAAAAGTTTTCAATATTGTACATTTTCTTTTCTTTTTTAATTTCTTCTTCTTCTTCCTTCTCTTTCCTTCCAACACCTCCTCCATCATCCACCACCGTATCCAACCTTTTCCCTTTAATTTTCTCACCATTCGATTGTCATAAACCTTGCCGAAATTATTCAAAAACTTCGTCGAAGAAGAAAAAGACTGGATTAGGCCGTGTATCTGGAGGTTTTGATGGTGGTGCATAGTGATGGCAGAATGAGCCTATATTTTGGTAACCCGCTCATATTTTAATGGGTTGGGTAGGTGATTTTTTACATGTATAAAGTAAAATATGGGTAAAATATGGATTAGCCAAATGGGTTAAACTTCTAACTTTTATTCACTCAAAATTCATGATATCTCTAAAAAATTTGTAACTTCTCTTCCTTTTTATGTTCTTCTATAGAACTAATTATTTTTCTCTATAATTGAAAAGGTGAAGTCTTTGTCCCTGTCATAGTATTGTGGCTCTTGGGCGCGGATGAAGTAATCTTTCATCTGAGATTTCTCCATAGGAGGTCTGGCCCTAACTGCCTCAGACCTCCATCTTATGGCATAATCCCTGAAGGATTCACTAGGCTTTTTCTTCAGGATTTGGATGTAGAACCAATCGGGCACATTTTCTACATTAAATTCGAACCTATTCATGAAGTCTGTGGCCATATCCATCCATTCGACCCATTTGTGAGGTCTTGTTCGATATACCATGATAGAGCTTCCCAGTGAGACTTATCATAAATAGCTTCATTTTTATCTTCTGGTCCCGTTCCACCCCTACGAGCTTGTCACAATACATTCTCAGGTGGGCTTTGGGGTCTCCAAAACCATTGAACATTTCAAACTTTGGGAGTTTGTACCCTTTCGGTAATTCGGGGTGCATGCACAAATCCTCATAGCTTAGTCCTCCCAACCTCTTACTTCCTTCTACATGTTGCACTCTGTTGGCCAAATTATCCAATCTCTCGGTCAGGGCTTTTATCAGAATGTCCTTTTGAAAAGATTTTGATTCGTGGTAGTCATTTGTTAGGGGAGCAGTTTCCACATATATGACGTTAAGGTTGTGATTTCCAGGGGCATATGAGGGTTTGTATATTATAGTTTGGCATTGCTTTTGGAAGGCTTGCCTTATGTTGCTGGTGGTATTGGTAAAGTGGGATTTGGGTATTTGGGTATTTGGATATTTGGATATTTGGATATTTTGGGTGTGAGGTGGGAAGATATTGGGATGAGTGGGATCAAGTCAGGTTATGTTGGGTAGAGGATTGTTTGGTAAGGTTGTTTGGTTAGTGAGAGGAGGGTTGTCTATATTTTCCCCAAAATTGGTTCCGAGAGAAATGGATAGCTCGGCCAAATTGCGCAGATGTGCTACTTCTTCCTCTAACTCCAAGATTTTGCGCTCAAGCCTTAGGAAATTTCTTTCTGAAAAAAATGAGGCATCAAAACCTTTCAGCTTTTTCTGACTTTTATGATCTTGATATGATTATTGTACTATTCAAAGCTTTGCGACTCTTTCGTGATGATGCTTTTCAATGTTTACATTCTTTATTGTTGTTATCATTGTTCAACATGTTGATCTTCTGTATGTTTGCATTTTTTAATTTTATTGGCCATAAGAGCTTTTAGCAATACCTTCACAAAATGTACTGTCCTCAAAAAGTTTCTAGTGTTCTTAATATTGCCTCTCAATTTGCAGGCTGAGGTAACTCAGAGGCTCAGCAATGCTAAAGCAGCGGTCAGAGTTGTTGTAATGCCGAGTCATGTGGACCTTGCAAAAAAACTCCAGGTAGATATTACTTCGATGTTTCCATCATTATTTGCTCTTGTTGAGCGATTTGTTCTTTTGAGATAGGTTATCAAAACAGTAGTTTGACGACGCAAAATAGTACTATTGCATCAATAGTTTCTGAGGTTTTTGAGGGATAGCTATTTTTGGACAACGTAATTGTAAAAATAGGATATACGATATGAGCAACAGAATCATGAATTTGTGTGTTTACATAGCATCTTAGAGTTGCATCTTTGGCTGATGGTTTTTTTAAGTTATCTTTTGTGGTTGCATCTTAAGCATTTAGTGTGAATATCTCTGATTCGAATTTCATCAACAGGAGGAGATGGACAAAAAGTGGAAGACATCAAGAGCCATTGCCATGATAATTTCTTGTTCAATTCAAATAACATCATTTTGCAATGGATTGCTGTCTGGAACTGGCGTGCAAAGTTCTATGGCGGCTGCAATTTGGTGATTTTTCTTTTCCTGAACTGAAAATATCTATTATTTTCAGGTCATACATCCCAAGGATCCAGGAGGATGAGAGAGGTTGCATGCCCAACTTGCACAGTCCATTTGCAGGTTTAGAACCCTCTTCCCTATTTGTTTTATGGTTGAAACTAGCAGATTAATTTTCGCACTACATAGTAGCTCTATTCCATTGAATGAAATTGCCTATTTTCCCTTTCAATCATTCTTTGATCTGCTATAATTGAAGGCGGGGGGATCATGTTGTCCTGTTGTGTCTAGGTCCCTAAGAAAGTAATTCATATTTTCAAACTTGTAAAATTTACTAGTTTCAACAGTTGGCCAAAAGGAGGGGAAAGGGAACAAGGAAAGAAGAGTACTACCTAGATTAGCAGATTTTATGCCGTTGAAATGATTGGGCAAGTTTTTGGGATCTAATGTATAGAGTAAAACGTGATGCCAAACCTTTTAGAACTTTTTACCAAATGAAAAAAAGATTAAGAGAATGGTGAAATATGCATTTTTATATTACAGGGTCGTGGAAAATATGAAATGCAGACGGCCTTTGCTTTCTACCTATTGCTGAGACTTCTTGTAGTGTTAACCCAGCAACTTCCGCTTGGGAAATATCTAATGCAGTTACGTTTGTAGGTTGAAGTCCCAGCTTCTGGATCAGAAACGATTGAGTGCAGTGTCTGCCAGCACCCATTCCTTGTTAGTGCTCATTGACAGGCAGGGTCGGTGTGGTTTGCTTTGCAATCATCCTATATGCAGGGATGGATTTGAAGCCACCACAATGGTCCTTCCAACTTTATATGATTGTTTTTAAGGCGTATCAAGTTGTGTCTTCATTGGTGTTTTGTTAGCGCCCTCTTTCAATAGTGTAAATTTATTAACAGTAGTCAGTTCTATGAGCTTTTTCTCGGTTGTGTGCATGTATAGTACACGTGCTTCATGTCGTGAAGCACTTGCAAAAGTGATTCACACATAATATGATGCGAGGTGCATGAAACTAACTTGTTCAGTTCATTGTGCAAATCAATCAATTTTCAGTATTTTGAATCCTTTACACATATTATTTTCATTTCATATCATTGTGAAACCACAGAACTCATATACTGATGAGCAAATAGGAACTAAATATAAAGCAGAATGGTTATTTGTTGAAACGTGTGATAGACAGATCCTCTACAGGAGAACTACGCTTATTTTCACTGGAGTTTCCCTCTGTTCCAGCACAGTTTTATTTGTTCTCTTATCCATTTCTTCCTAGTTTCCCTCTTAAAAAATGATTAATTTTTTTCTGATTATATAAAGAAATGAATATAATATTTATAGGTTGAAAGATACAATAGGTGTAGGAAGTGCAAAAAGCTTAAATTAATTTGTGTTCCCTCTTCAACCCCCCAAATGGAATGCAAATATCATTGCATAGTATACATGCCAACTCTCCTTGTTGGATATTAAAGATTGTGTTATAAGGTATTTCTAGAGCAACTATGAAGATCTTGATATTAAAGTTTTGTAAAAAAGTATCAGCTTCATTCTCACAATCAACTGCACTAAAACATTGCTTGTATTCTTTTCATTTAACTGCTACAGATAAAAGCAACAATCACTGCCACTCCAAAACCCAATACAAGGAAGCTATATAGGACTATACACGACCAATATCAATGTATTATTCGCATCACAATCTTCAAACCTGTATAACCTACTGCAATCTTCAAACACCACAACTTCCACGAATGCCTTGATAATGTTACAGAACTCTATCATGGCTGTAGTACTACCAAGATTCCTACTATACACATTAGGAGATGAGAAACTAAACAGAAGCTAACGAAGTTTATTCTGAGAAACAGCCTGGCATAATTCATCCTCGTAAAATAGGACTCTATTAGAACCCAAGGGCTTACAAAGGGGTTTTGGTATAACAGATGGCACCAAATGCCTTGAAGGAAATGCAGATTCCTGGAAAAGAACAGCTGCAATTTGCTCCATCTCTATAAACTTGAGGCGAGATGGGGGCTTGGGACCATGCTTAGGAGCCTGAGGAGTAACAGGGCTGTGAACCCATGCACCTTTCCCATCCCCTTTCCTGCAAAGTGACAGCTATATCTAAATTTAACGCATATAAATCAGTTAGCCAGCTAAAGGATGGTTGGAAGATCATAGTATTACCTTGCAAAAGGACAGTGATCAGTGGGGAGAGGAGTCATGGTTCCTAACATATCTTGTCGCCTTCTATCTGGAGTCGTATAATTGAAATGGAATTGTCTTGCCAAAGTTACCTGTCCCGTTTGCACCAGTAATTAGACATCACATCTTCTTATGTGGCTAAAAGGACAAAAATGGAGAGAGAGAGAGAGAGAGAATGACTCACTGCCTTCCTGGTCTTCTGAGAGACATGGAAAACTGCTTTAAGTTGGTCATGTTGCAGGTGGCAAAGTATGTTAACCTTAAGTAGAATATATAAAAAACTATTAGCTAATCAGCTCAGACAATAAACTGCAGGAATTGGATTCTGTCCTCAGTAACATAAGGGTTAGTTTAATTATTCTTCTCAAATGTCAAATATCATACTATCTCCATTTCAGAAAACACAAACGAACAATAAGTAACACACCTACTGTCATATTACACAATACTCATTTGCCAAACCGCTATTTCAGCTTATTTGCTCATCCTTTCAGCCTATTTTTCTTATAATTTTTTGCTTTCATTTTTTCAAGAATTCAAGTTCTCTACAACATTAATATTTGATTAAGTAGCCAGTTACCTGGTAATGCTGATGAGGAAGCTAGGTGGAGAGAGTGAGGAAAAGAAACCAAAAGATCTACATGGAGAGGCAGTAGCACACAAATAGCTTCAAACTGTGAAGAACTGATGAATTAAGCTTGCTAATAGAGGAATTCAAAACAGATACGTAACTGATGTGTTGTAATGGAATGAGACAGCTAGGAGCTTCCATTCATGCAGATGTTTAGATCAAATGAATCAGATCAGAATAGAACCATCTTCAGTTTACTAATGTCAACAAGCAACTGAAAAGTTGACAAAAGTACTGAGATTTAATGTGAAAAATGACATATTTATTTGAACTAAGGATTATATAATTGACAAGAATTTCCTTGCACTAATGAAGTAATTTCTTGATTGGCATGAAACAAAAGATTATGGAAGGTTGAGAAAATCAGTAGGGAAGGAAAAGATATGCTGGAGAAAGCATACAAATTAGGACACAATCAATGGGTCAGAATCTATGCATGCAAGGGGAAGAGATCACTTTAAAGATTTGCAATCAAGGAGATTTCTTAGGACTAATGTCTCATTTCTCAGAATTGAGGTTTCTGCAAAAGGGCAAGGAAACGTCTGAAATATAGCTCTAATCCCAGAAACATGTGTTCCTTGAATCACACTCTATAAATAATTGCAGATGAACAGTCACTGAGATTCAAAGTTCAAGAAAAAAAAGACAGGTTCCTAAAGAACATACAAAAAAAAGGAAAATCATTCTCTGTACAAGAAAAGAGACAGCGACCTCCTTTCATTGTAGATCGTGAGTTGAAAAAAATGAGTTATGTGGGATCTCATTGTTGGTGTGAAAACCAACATGCAATTTTGTTGTTGATACTTGATCAACAAGTGCAACCTCCAAAAGTCGGTGGTGGGTGTTTGAAAATCACTAGAAATTGTACGAAACTCATGAGCAAAGGAACTCAAGTATAACTCCTTTGTATCTCAACTCTCAAGAACTGGATAATGGCTTGTTGAACCACTATAAAATATCACATGTCAATTTTACTTTTTGCATTTTGTAGCTTACTGTTAAACATGTTCAACCCCATATACACTAATGTTCAAATTGATTCAACGTTAACACTTCAAATTGGCTAATAATTTTAGAAGTAGCACATTCAACCTCCTATTGCGTTTCCAAAGATTGCCAACAGTTTTTCTTATTCTCTACCTATAGTGAAAGAAGACTTATTAACATCTACATTTAGAGAATGCAAGCCAAGTAAATTGATGTACACAAGGATATAATGAACAAAGTTTGAACTAGATGATTAGGTTGGAGAAAAAGGAAGAGCACATTCAATACCAATAAATCCAATGGTAGTGACTCAAGCCTTGACTCCAACATGCCTTCTACAGCTCCGGGTGTCTTTGGAGTCATTAGCAAATAATTCTGCTTGGCTAAATCCATGTGTGAAGCCACTTCCCTCAAATGAGATCTCACGGGAGATAGAAATATGGGACTCTCATCATTAACATCATTTAGAAACAGAACTTCCTTATTAGCATCATCTGTATCCGTTACGACCACTCTTCTCTTCCAAAGATAAGCACAACATTTAGCAGCAGAAACCTTGGTATTCCGAAGTTGTGCAAGAGCACCTGGTCTCAGATACTTGCTCTTTGTACTCTTCGACCGCCTTTTCTGTTTCAGACTGTTGGATTGCCCATCTTTAGGAGATACTTTCCCCATAATACTATTTCTGTTTTTTCACTTGGCAGGAAATTAGGTTTAGGGATCACCTTTACCCTCAAGGTTCACTAACTCCCAAACTAATGTATCCAATTTAAGATTAAATTTGACCCAGATTTCATTCCATGTTAACCTGAAAAAGTTAAAAGGATAAAAGGAAATAACTTATCAAAACAAGAAAACATTCCAACTTCCAGATGGTATACAAAAATATAGCCACAAGAAATAATTTTACAATGCTTCACTATCCTTGAAATTTGAATAGTTTAAAATGTTTTCTACAAGGAAAATACAGTCCATTATTAATAAAAGGGTAAACTGACTTCAATTATATATTGTAAGAAGTCATTTCTCTTTAAAAAATACCTCAAACTATCCATATTAGGAGTGCATTGTCTTGTTGTCCGTCCATACTAGTAGTTGTAGTATTACACGTGTAGTTTCTTGTACTTCGAATTTTTGTTACAATCTGATTCTTCTTGTACTTCGACTATAGTATCATTTTATCATAGTATTGTACTGCTACTATCTGTTGTTCATATTACTATTGGTTGTTTCTTACACTTTCATTACTTCTTTTTCTGGATTGCTTTGGACTATTTTTTCCTTAAGCTGAGGGTCTATCGGAAACAACCTAACTAACTCTGAGGTACGGTAGGTATGCGTACACTCTATCCTTCCCATACCCACTTTATAGGTCTACGCCGGGTATGTCGTTGTATTCAGACATTAAGAGTATCACCAAGAGCTATTTTTATACCATATCACACGCCTCGTACAACAACCATATGTTGCCTTTTTTCATAACAAGCCATACATGAAACTGATAGAGAAAATGATTTCACAAAGTACCAAATGCAACCTAAATTCACATGAAGCCACAAATTATGAAACTACAAGAAATTTGATGCTTTTCAAATAACTCGCTGATGAATTCTTACAAAGGCTAGGCACGAATTCCTCAATAATTAACTTGATACGACTTAACTACATATAAACAATCAAAACTAACAGCTAAACCCCAAAATTCAAGTACAATAAATTCAGAAACACACATACACAAAACCAAACAAAACAACAAGGAAGAGTAAGAAATTACGAACCTGAAAAAAGAGAAGCATAAACCCTAGCAGATGGAGAAGGAACCACTGATGGATTGGAGGGAAATATTTTTTGGGCGGGGGTGACCTAGGGATTGGCTAAAAGACTGCTTATTTGAATTTGTTTGTTGTCAATGACCCGCCAAAAGCTTTTTTGGGTGGGATCCACTTGGGCCGCGTATTTCGTCAGTTACTCCACGTGTTGTCTTGCTATTGGAAGTGTTTTCTGGGCTCAATTTAGAATCCTATGTTGGGGCTTCTCCGCTTATGGCGGAGTTTAGTTGTACTTCTTAAGAGTTTGTGTACTTTTCATATATGTCTGATCAATTACCAATTGAATAAAAGAAACTAATATTTTTTTAAAATTTAAATATAGAAAAAGAAAAAATATATAAAATTATAAACAAGTTTGTAAAGGGCTATGATTATAATCTCAGAATAAAATGTATGTTTATTATAGTTTGCATTGGTTAGTGATAATTTTCCCTAGTAGTTAACCCTAAAATTATTTATCCACCATTTATATTACAATTGTAGAAACTTTCACATATAACAAATATAAAAATGATATTTGTATGTTATAGCTATAGTTTGCATAATTGCGCTTCATAGCAAATTTATTGAATTCGCTAGATACATTTAATTTTATACAAATTGTTCAGTTTTGTATAAATTCATTTATACATTGTAATTTGCATAATAAGATTTGTCTTTGTATAATTATAAGTGTATAGGACGAAAATATATGTATTTGTATTTGTATATACACTTTTCTCTCGTTTTATACAAACACAAACGCATTTTATATATTTTATACCGAATTGTATAAAATGACTAATTGTATACCAAAAATGGCTAATTGTATACCGAATCAAATGGCAAAAAAGGAGATGTTTTGCTGCGAATTACAATTAAAATAAACAATGACTATAGCATTTAATTTAAATTAATAGTTTGTTATTTCATACAATTTTATTAAAATGGGATAACTAATCTTGTGAAATATTTCAATTCGTGAGATAATTTTGTGTATCTCATCCTCCATGCCAAACGATCCCTAGAGGAAGCTGACCAACTCCATCTGGAAAAAAGCCAAATTTTGCTTTATAGGCCCAATAGGGACCCATAAACATTCGAAGATCCAGAAATAAAGAGTCCAATTCTTCCTAGTATTTGTTTAAGGAAAAATTACATAATTAGACATACTTAACTACCATATATACATATATTATCTATAGTTTAAAAATGTTACTCTTAATATCACTTTTTAATAATTATACCATATATTTTAAAAAGTTAAATCAGATATGATATTGAATAATTATCTTAAAATTTAAACTCCTTAATAGAAGGTACATTAACAATTAACCTCCCTCAATCTCCTTCACCAACTATATATCTCCCCCCCCCCTAACCCCACGTCCTCTGCCATTTTTTCTCTCTTCCTTCGTCCTCCTCATAATATCTAACAAAAACAATTTTGGTTCATAGTTGAATCCCAGGTGTATCTACATGTCATATGCACATGTCATTCTTCCATATGTCTGATGTTCGTGTATCCAAATGTCTTATGTATCTTCCTTTCATCTATATATCTACCATTCTTCTCCTTATTCTATGTATTTTGTTTATTTATTAAATGTATATGTATTTTCTATTAAATATATATGAGTTGTAGAGTTCATATTGCTCTAAAGTTTGATTTTATAAACTTTTACAAATTAGGTTTTACATTGTTTGCTAGCTTTTGTTGTTTCTCAAATTTTAATGAATGACCATTCATAAAACAGGTCGAAAATAGATCTAAGTTTAAGAACGATCCTTTAAAATTGTTGAATACATGTATCTCACCTTTAATTCAAATTAATAGCACGTATCTCGATTTTTAATACTGTTGGATACACATATCTCACTTTTAATGATACATGTATCTCGCGGTCATGATTTGTTCCTAAAATTTGTGTGTTTCAATTGCATTTTATATTTAGATCCACATAATCACATGTATATACTTACTATGTATTCGGGATACATGTTTTTGAATATAATGTATGAAATTGATGCTTGATACATCAAATTAATACTAGATACGTGAAATTAAAACTAGATCATATAAATAGATACATGAAATTAATAGTTGACACATATAACAAATACACGAAATTAATACTAGATACTTCTATGATACATATGAATGTACTTGTATAATACTCATGTATCTAAGTATTTAGTTTGTTGGATACATCATATATAGATAATAGATACATCAAATTAACGAATTTATTATTTTAAGAGTACTAAATGAAATTAATCAAATTACATGACCAAGATATACATGCTTTTGTTTATTACTAATAATATAATGAATTTATTATTTCAAAGGATAATTTTGAAATAATAAATTGAAATTAATTAATTATAGATACACTCCTTGATTTCCACCTTATGATAAGCGATTTGATTAATTTAAATTTTCAGAATTAATTATTCATATATATCCTTAATTACTCCTCTAATTAAGGAAATTGGTTACAACCTATTAATTCAAACAAATAAAATATGTATCTCATACATGTATCTCCAGATTCAATCTTATGTATCCTAAGTATGAAAATATGGTAGAGGAAGTAATATTTGAAACTATCGAGAATCTTAGTAATTAGGACCTAAACTAGTGGGATTTATGTAGTTTGCCCTTTGTTTAAGTCGGTATAACTAAATGGGCTCAAAATCCGTTATTAGAGCTTTGTGGTTTCTCTTGAGGGAGAAGGGACAAAACATTAAGACTGTCCTTACAATATCCATTTTAAGTTGAACAACTTTCACATATAGCAAATATAAAAATCATATTTACATGTTATAACTATAATTTGCATAATTGCGCTTCATAGCAAAATTTATGTTTACAGTTTGCTATGTAGCTTTTGATTTGTATAATTAGCTACAAACATCCAATTTTATACAAATCATTCGATTTGTATAAATTCATTTATGCATTGTAATTTATATAATAAGATCTGTATTTATATAATTATAAGTGTATAGGATGAAAATATATGTATTTGTATTTGTATATACACTTTTCTCTCGCTTTATACAAACACAAACGTATTTTATACATTTTATACCGAAATGTATAAAATGGCTAATTGTATACCGAAAATGGCTAATTGTATATCGAATCAGATGGCAAAAAATAGGATGTTTGCTGCGAATTACAATTAAAATAAACTATGACTATATCATTTAATTTGAATTAATAGTTTGTTATTTCATACAATTTCCCTTTTAAGTTTGCTATTTAAATTTTACTTTTAAAAGTTGTGCAAAATAGTCCTTGGAATTGATAAAACATTAATTAGATTGTTATCTACGCCTACAAATTTTTATAGCATGATCTAGTGTTACTTATAAGATTTCCAGTTTGCTCAAAAGAATCTTTAGGCGATAATCTAAAAGGTCATAAGTTGGAAGAGAAATAATTTTAAAAAAAGTCATTTACTAAAACTACTATTTCAAAAGGGACAACCGACAAAACTTTATGATTTTATTCCTCTTAGACCAACTTCTTTACCATATATTATCTTGTTCAATTATTTTATAAAAAGTATGTAGGCTCAGTATAAATTATCGTGGATACTACTTCAAAAAGTTGTTAACTACCCTAATTAAAAGGTTGTGTTAAATAAGGCAATTAGTGACAATTGGAGCACTAAGGGTCCATTTGTGTACCATGTTTGATATGATTTGTTCCAGCACAATCACGCCAAAAGAAAGTGAATTATTTATTTTACCAAACAAAGCCAACATTCATTGCTTCATACTTGATGGAATCAGTGCCAAAATTAGCGGAATGATATGCCTTTTAGAAAGAGCATCTTTCTAAGCTATTTTTTGAGTTAGGTTAAACTCAAAATCTATTTTCTTTTATCGAAAGTCAAACTTAATCTAATTCATTGTTTACCTATTACATTCATGTCTTAGATTGTACACACTTTTGATGTCTACGATTCAAATGAAAGTCTATAGGTGTGTGGAGGGAGTATCGAACCCCACACCAGTGTGACATAGATTAATTTCTTGATCTTTTTACCTATTGATAAAATTTATTACAAAACGAAACCGAGTTTGAACTACATCTTCACAATTCTTATGTGAATTGGAAACTTATAATGAAAAGATACAATTTGGAATAATTTTTTTATGAACATATACATCGAATTAATCTTCTTTGATTTTTTAAAAAAATCGATAAATCACAAGACACAAATAAGTATAGGCGGCTGAATATTTTTATTTAATACTATGGTGGAAGTTAGAATAAGACAATGATTGTTGAGCTGCAAACAGAATATATATATAAAGGCGTGCAACTTTGGTTACGTTAATTCCACCATATATATGAGTTATGACATTTGTGGAATCGCACCCGTGATACTCCACTACCAAAAAAGTTCCCTTTCTTAAGTCTTTTAAAATTAGAGAAAAAGTTTAAAAGTACTTGGAGTATAAAACTGCCTGCACAAAAAGCCATCCTTTCGTAGGTTTAAAATTTTAAACATATATGGGCACCATGATATAACTTTTCAGACTGTATTCCAATATAAAAGTTTAAAAAACATAAAATAATTAGGATAATCAATCCTTGTGTTTTGTTGCTCATTTTGTTTGTTTGCTCGAGAATATATAGAACAATGGGTTGTATGTCTGAGAATTTTCCTTTTTTTGTGTATTTCATTTATTATACATAAAACAAATAAATAAGTAAAGTTATATATTGAAATATATATCATATAGTGCTTTAGCAATTGTTGACAAAGACTATCTTACTGAATTGCTGAATTGTCGCACGATAGATTTGCAGATAAGCTACCTAACTTTGGTTACAAGCCCCATTTAAAGCATCCAGAAGAAAATGACTGATTGTTGAGTGAAGGGATCATTTGGTTGGGAACAAGTTATTTCAAGATTAATTATCCTGAGAATAGTTATTCTGGGATAACTTATCTCATATTTAACTTATCTCATCACTATGGTATAAATGGTGGGATAAGTTATCTCAAACATGTCAACCAAACAAGACACTAAAATTTAATCCAAGGACTAATTTTTTTTATCTTAGGACTATTTATTCCCATCCTTCACACCAAACGAGTTGGATTGACCTTTTGCTTTTGTATTTAAAATTAAAGTTAGGATATCTAGCTTATGTGTTGATTTATATTTATTATTTTGACTTAAAAACAAGTACTTCATTTTAATTTTTTTAATTTTATCACAACACTTTAAGAATGCTTAAAAGTTATTTAAGCTAAAAAATAATAATGATACTTATTCACATGATATAAAACCTATTAAAGAGGGAAGGGATTTCTATTGATTTTTTTTTTTCATTACGAATGTTTACATCAGAAATGTTTAGTGAAATATATTTCATCTATTTCTTCATTTCCACTCTACCTGAAGCAAGGAATCATGTTGCATCCGTCGAAGCGTCAATTACCTATAGCGTTGGGAAATGACATATATTCCTCAAACACCTAACATTCTGCAACGGTAAACAATCATCATTAATTAATTAGTAACTAAGTTGTACAAGTATTCAATTAGCTAATGACAAATTTTTATTTTTAAAGTAATTCCTTAATTTCCCATAAAATCATGTAGAATGAGTTTATCGTAAATTTTAATATGGTGGTAGGATACTAGGATTCCAAATTAAATAACATGATCAAAGTCTAGAATACTTAAAAATTTATGCTAAGTTCTTAACATTTGTGGCATTGGACAAACTGGACCACCTATATACTTCACTTACTTCACATTATACACTGGATTACAATATTTTAGGCACTATATACAAGTCTACAATAATATTATAGACTTATCTATCATGGATTAATCAATTCCTTCTCAAAATGTATAACTTCCGTCGACAGTGCTATTCCCCTTAGTAATTACTATAAATCTTCAAAACTCTCAATACCTACGTACATCGAAGCTAATTACTATCTACCAACAAATGGTGGAGTGGTAACTGGGTGGTCTCAACTTCGAATCTCTCGGAGTAAGAAATCGCTTTTATTAAGGAGTGTTTTACTTTTACCTCAACGTGGGACTTCAGGCAATATTACTAATAATCTAAATATCGAATCTCTCGATATGATGCATGGCTTGAGTCTTCCATGATTATGTCGGGTATCCTCTCACGTCTTTTTAACTAAGGAGTAATTTATTTATTTTTTTACCAAACACGTTCTTCTATAATTATGCCGGATATCCGAATTATTAGTTTTATATATATATATATATATATATATATATAGATTGATAATAATGAGAATGTTCTCATTATTAAGAATTAGTGTAGTGAATGATGAGATCTAATAACAAGTAATCGATAACTCTGGAGTATAATGTAATGACAGAGTGAATATCTTCACGAGATTCTTATGTTAGTTTTTCTATATATAATAACTAAAATTGTATGCATATTGGAAAAAAGATTCTTTACTGCATCGGACTGAGACTATTTGTCTTATATGAGTAGTTTCTTTTTTTTGTCATTCAAATAGGATAGGAAGAACAAAATATGAATAATTAAGGAGCGAGAATAATGGGCACATAGAATTGATGAAAACAACCAACCGCTAAAGTAAAGGGGACGTGTCCTTGGGACGCATGTGCCCCTTGTTCCAAAGGATATCCGTTGGTCCCATTTTTGACAATTGTAATTTGTAATTTACACATATTAACGAAAAAGTGTCGGAATCAGAATTTTTAAAAAGTTTAAAATATAAGCATGTAAATATGTGATGTAGTCAAGCGAGTTCAATATTATCTACTATATAAACATAAATAAATTGACTTTAACCTTATAAAAACGATGTAATTTTCTGTCTTATAATTCGATGTTCCTAACTGGAACAGTTTCCTTACTGTTTTTAGTTGCTTGTCCAAATGACACAAATGCCCTTTTCATTGCCAACCATCTCTCCGTGTATGCTTTCTGATCAACCTTGTATAAAAAAAAATTAATCTTAGCTAAGATGAAAGAGTTCAACACTTGTAAAATCTAAATGACTTATGAAGGCACATTTTGAGTCCAAAATTTTCTATTTGAAGCAAATGCGGGAAGATTCAGAAGGTTAAAGGTGAAGGGAAAGGAAGCTGAACTTATAATTGCCCAATATTGTAGTATGATAGCATAAATAATTTTCGGTGTTCAACGAAATTTGAGGTTTGGAGTGTGCGTATGCTTTGGTAAATATTAAAAATTATTGTATTCACAATTAGATACTATCATACTACAGTATTGGGCAATTATAAAATATTGACTAATATTGTACAGAAATATTTAGTGAACATTTGATCGTGAAGTTGTGCTTGGTTATAGAGTAAGTATTTTTTTAGTTTATTTTTTTGTGTCCACTATTTTCATGCAATTCAATTTTACTTGTCATTTTATAGCATATTAAGAGAAAATATTTTTTATTCTTCATGTTTTACTCTCATAATAAATTACTTAATTCTCAAATTATTTTGCAAAATCTAAAATTATGTATCAACTAATAAAAATATTGTGATAAAACACTCATATTAATTTTTATTTTTTGAAAAACATTCCAAGTCCAAAATGAACCAACAGAGTAATATTTGATTCAATATACTTTTCCAAAAAAAAATTGAAATATGGTTTAAATATTCTCGTTTTGGGCAGTGCAGACTGCAGAGAGGTAGTTAGGTTAGGTGAGACACCGCTTAACTAAAAGCAAACTGAAAAGAGATTAGCTTCTCACAATTGACAGTAGACAAAAAAAAAATTACACAGTCGATTCATTTTTAGGAATATTTATTTCTTTTATTATGATATGTTCACATATTATTAATGTTTAAATAAAAATAACAAAAAAAAATAGTATATTGTAACTTAAACCCTAAATTAATTATAGGATTCCTATTAGGAATTTGTTTAGAATTCTTATTTGGTTGTCAAAAATAAGGAGGATTTTTCCACTGCTTTCTTGTCCTCGTTATTTTCACCTTATTCTCCATCAACACCATTAAAGCAATTTGAGACAATTATCAAGTAACTTTTTACTCTCTTTTTTTTTCTTTTAAAATCTAGACTAATTAATCTCATAAAAGAATTATTCACAACTTATTAAGTCTTCTTCGCAACATGAAAAAGTTTTGGGATAGGTGCTTCTATTACTCTAGACTATATTTTCTCTTCTTAGTTCATTCAATCAACAATACATAAACTAATTGAAAACAAACTTTGATTCATATACTATCACACGTACTCTAATTTATTTAAATAATACTCAAAGGCGATAGTATCAAAAATATTTGAACATTCTTTCAAATAAAAAAATATTAGATTTTTAAAACTTGTTTTAAAAAATCAAAAAGGAAAAAAGAAAAGGACAAGATGAAAAATCATTAATTTTAAATGGAAAAATATATAATTAATTTAAAAGAAATAAGTATTTCTAAAAATAATTTGATGGTGTAATGTTCTTGTCCACCGTCACTAAAGAAAAGTTAATGTCAATTGAAAATCCAAACATTTACTACCAGACCACTTGTCTTATAGTCCTCTTTACCAACGTGGAATCAATAAATAAATATACTTCATTCCTTATTTAGGTTAGTACTCCTTCGATCCCATATTAGATAGAATATCTTAGTAAAATTAATTTTTTATATTATTTAATTATTTATTAAATTAAAATAAAATTACTTATTTTCTTGTTATTACTTCTATAATTAATGTAGCCTTCTAAATATGAATAATTTCTAATAATAAAATTAATTAATTAATTAATAATTTATTAATTATCATATAAAATAGAAATTGCCCATCTAGTAGTTATATACTCTAGTACCTAAATCATAGTATTAACAAAATCATATTACAGCCAGCATAAATACTTGTTGTTGCGTTGTAAAAATTCTTAAAATTTAGTCCTACAGAAATCCCTTAACGAAATTCAAGTTTATATATAACTTTTACAAAAATAATAATAAAAAAATAGAGAAATAAAGAACAGTATGAGCATATCATGTGAGTTTCACCGTTTGTGTCTGAAAAAGAAAAAAAAATTAAGTCAAAAGGTGAACTGTGACAAAAAAGTAGTAATGTATTCTTTCAGTAAAGAAAAATTTCGAAACCGGTTTGACAAAAAAAGAAATAAAATTGCAAAACCCGTGAAGGGTAGTGGCACATACGAAAAACTAAAAAATATTGAGGGTGTTTCAGTCAATTAAAGGCAACAACACAGTGAATGTATACACTCTCGGTCAAATAAAAGTCCCACAAGTATCCATTTTCTGACTCTGTAAAACAGTGCAGATAACGGAGCTCCCAGACAACAGACACCGACGAGAAACGTGAGTCGTCTTTATCTCTCTCTCTTCTCTGGTTCACGGAGAAACAGTTTTTGGGAACTAACAAATGTTCCAAAACTGAAGCTTCTTCTCGCAAACTTATGACTGTAAATCACAGAAAACCATGCCCATTTCTTCTCAATTTTCAACGTTTTTTTTTTTCCAGTTCATAGGAAATTGCATTAACAATTTTATTAGTACTAGTCTGCGTCGTTACCGAAATAACTGGATTTTTTGTGATTTCAGTTTGAAAAACTTGTACATTTGCATAAATCGAGTGTAGTGTTAGTGTGAATATATGCATGGAGATATGTGCAGTGTTTTTTCTTCAATTTTTTTGTTGTTGTTGTTGTGTAAATGGTGAATTGAATTCTGTTATAGGTTTAGCTTGGAAGGAATGCTGAAAGGACTACGGGATTGCGGTGGAGTACAGTGAGGTTAACGGCGTCACGGTTAATTCAGGTAATGTTTGTTGTAATTTTGATGGAGTTCTACTGAAAATGTGTCAATTCCTTTCCATTTTATTAGTAATTTTTTTTTTGGTGAAGAAAAAGTGAATAGGTAAATAGAATTATTATAGGCTATTTTTGATATGTCGTTGACTCATTCTTTTGAGATTTCTCCGCAGCTGAAATTCTGATAGCTGCACTTCTATTACAACGGGATCTGTTGGAAGCAATCCTTTTGGGTGCATTCTGATTACATATGATGCTTTTGAGTGTATTTTGATGGTACTGCATGTCTGCGACATTGACTGGAACTTGAATCTGATGAACTATGCATAACGAATGTTTTATAGAAGTCTATATTAAGTCGGCAATGTTGTTCTCCCCGAGTTTTACTTAATGAATTCAACCTGCCTGATTAAAAGAGCTGGTGGAGACATCTTGATTTTTTGTTAAAGTTTTGAGCGAGTTGCTGTTGTTATAGTGGTCATCCTGCTGATCTGGAGATGTGCTTCTTATTGAATTGAAATTTAGAGAGAGTTGAGGGAATAATTTAGGATTTACATATGGCTTCATTGGACCATTTTGGGGATGTTGCAAATATCGCACAGCTTACTGGAATAGATGCGGTGAGGCTAATTGGGATGATTGTGAAAGCTGCTGCCACAGCCCGGATGCACAAGAAGAATTGCAGGCAGTTTGCACAGCATCTCAAGCTAATTGGAAATTTATTGGAGCAGCTCAAGATTACTGAACTTAAGAGGTATCCGGAAACCCGAGAGCCATTGGAACATCTTGAAGATGCATTGAGGAGGTCTTATTTATTGGTCAACAGCTGTCAGGACAGGAGCTACCTTTATCTGTTGGCTATGGGGTGGAACATTGTATACCAGTTTCGCAGGGCTCAGAATGAGATTGACCAATACTTGAAGATTATTCCTCTTATCACTCTGGTGGATAATGCTCGAGTCAGGGTATGGAGACTTTGCTCTTTTTGTCCATAGTGTTTTCCCTTCAGCTTTATATGCTTTCATTATCTGTTTGTTTCATTGCTCTTCCATCTTAAGATCTATCTTTGTTCTTTCTCATTTTTGCTAATGACATGGGAAGGAACTAAGGATAAATTCCAAGTTTGGTATCTGCAACTCTTGGTTAGGTAGCCTTTCTGGATGTCTGTTTGATACCCATGTTATGAGCTATGATATGAGATTTCTTTATCCTGCAAATCTTTCACCCATTTTATATCATCAGAAATTACTTGATTGGTTAATTGCTATTCAACATTTCTTTTATGGTATTGAGGAAAAATAAGACAGATTTGGCATTTGATCCCTGTTTCTTTGCTTTGCCAAAGCCATCAAAACATGAATATGTTTGTATCAGGGAACAAGTAACAATAAACCAACAATAGTGGCACAAAATCCCATAGTTTATTCTTTATAGCTTTCCAGGGGAAACCACAAAGTGGGATCAACTAATGTACAATAGCTTCTAATACAAATATTTGGTTCTAGCAAATTAGAGCTCTATATATGATAAATAGTCCATTTTTACTAAGTTTATCAGGTATGTCATGTGTTTGAGATTTTAGGATGGTGTAAAAACAATTGAGGTAACAAATATGAGACAACTATATTCAGTACAGCTTTCTTATGGAAAGCATAAACTGCATCAACTATCACACATTTAACTGTACAATAGCTTCTAATACATTTTGTTTCCTGCAAAATAGAGCTATTTGATGAGTAGTTCCTTTTCCACAAGATTATAAGGTGGGTCATGTTAAAGAATGACAAAAGTCCCACATTGGTGGTTAATGAGATGGGTGGACTCCGTATTAGACATGAGTTAGGCCAAAGGCCTAATTTCACATGGTATCTGAGCAAGGCTCATCACACCCAATGTTGGGGCCCCCAAAAATAAAAAATTGCCCACCCACCTTCGCATTTGGGCATGAGGTGGGGTGTTAAAGAATGACAAAAGTTTCACATTGGTGGTTAATGAGATGGGTGGACTCCTTATAAGGCTTGGACAATCCTCCTCCCTTAGAGCTAGCTTTTGGGTGTGAGTTAGGCCCAAAATCTAATTTCACAGGTCATGTGTTGGAGATTTGGGATGATTTACAATCAATGAGATGATTGAGGGAAAGAAAAGCATGAGACAGCAGAGTCAAACTGCAGCGCCTCAGAATTACGTGAGCGGTCGAGCAGATGGTCTGTAGAAAATATGGAAATGGGATTAATTTAGTCAAATAAAGAGCTTGACAACATTTTTTGTTCCATATGTGTATGTGTGGGATTATTGCCTCAAAAACTGATTTGTCTCCAATACTTGGTTGGATTTTAACTAATCATCCATCAAAGGTTCGAAGACATTTATGTTTCTCTCTCCCTGCACCACAACTTTGATTCTCTTATCTCCACCTTCTCAAATGCACAACAGATGATGAGTATAGTTGAAGGCTAGGGTGTACAGAATTCTTTTAACAGCCATTAGCTCTTTTCATTACTATGGAAACCATAAACTGTTTGGTAATTCTCTATATGGACAAGTCATCTTTTCTCAGAATATAAATGAGAGCAGGCCCATATACTTTTGGAAAGTGAAGCTACTATGAGTCTATCTTACTTTATTTTTTGGATAATGGTGGTGTCTGGACTAGCTTGAATTAGGTACCTGCTACCTCCCACCAGCACGCACGCCTATCTGGTAACTCTTCTCACCTAGGATTAGGCTGATGGGAAGCAATCACCTAGAGTTTTTTTGTTTTCGCCAGGATCTGAACCCTGGTATCCAAGGTTTTATACTAACTTCATTGATAACTTGGCAACATTCTAAACCCTTGTCTATTTTGAGTCTATTACAATGAAGAAGGGGGCAGCTGTGTTGTTTAACTATTTCAACCATCTAGGTAGAACTCTTAAAGTGAGAGCTTCTTATCATGTTTAAGTTGGAGAAAATTGCACTGGTAATAAGACAGTCCATCTGATACAATAAGAGTAACCTGTTACTTTACCTAATATTCTTGTTCTTCAAATATCAACTCAAGCATGTTTAAACTTTATTTGACTGCAATCACTCACAATTGGAAAGAGTTTTTACATACATATGTTCACAATAACCTATATCTAGTTTATCTTCCAAGTTGATAGATCTTGCTTTCCATATGTTGACAGGAAAGGTTGGAATATATTGAAATGGACCAGCGTGAATACACACTGGAGGTTGAAGACATGAAGGTGCAAGAAGTGATTATGAAACCAGAGCCTTCTAAAGATGATACAATAATATTAACGAAGAATCTTTCCTGTTCTTACCCAAGAGTGCCTATCAATGAGGCAATTCAAAAAGAAAATGAAAAACTCCAACTAGAACTACAGCGCTCACAAGCTAATTTAGATGTAGGCCAGTGTGAATTCATTCAGCATCTTCTGGATGTCACAGAAGTAGTTGCCACTAACTCTCTATCATTGAAGAGTTCACCTGCCAAACCTCTCAAAAAGTTGGATCTGAGTTACTCAAATGTTGATAATGAGAAGGTATATTATGACGATTATGCTAAAAGTGATGAGAAACAGTCAACTTCAAGGTAAGTTGCTTAAGTATAGTAGCTTAACTGTAATTTTCTGTTGGAAGCTGTAGTATCTCTTAAATCAAGTGTGAGGCTAGGGTCCATAGCCTGCTTTCAACAAATTCTTTTAAATGCTTAAAAATATTTACAGAAACACTTCATCAGTTACGTCAAGACATGACCTGCTTTCCTCAAAGGGTTCACATCGATATGAAGAGTGGCATTCAGATCTGCTGGGCTGCTGTTCAGAACCTCTCTTATGTATGTTCCAGAATAATGTTCTATATTCTCCATTCCATGTATCTTGTGATGTTTAATTCCCATTATGCTAAGAAAGAAAGCACAATGTTTTGATGCTTGAAAGCGCTTGATAACAAACATCATCATTTTGGGACGATATCATTATATTAGGTGCAATATCAAGATAATCCTAGTTAATACCGGATTTACTATGCAGGTATTAAAACCCTTTTCTTTCCCTGTGGTACATTTTCTAGAGTTGCCAGTGTTGCTGCGGACAGGCATATATGTAAGTGGCTTTATATTCCATTTAAAACTTTTTTGTCTATTATTGCTCTAGTTGAGAGTAATTTGGGGTGAAAACTGAACCATCCTTTTTGTAATTATTAATCTTCTTTCTCTTTGTTAATAAATGATGGAACTGGTTCAATTAGTAACTCTTGTCATTTTTTCTTTGTCTAGAAGTTTGCGGTTAAATCTTAGCATTACACTCTACCGTACAGTCAGATATTGTCAAACTTTTGTTTCCTTGGTTGATTTTCTGATCTTTGGTAATCTAACAGAGCTTATGTATTAGCACAGCCTTGTCAACTATTTCAACTTTAGGAACTAGATGAACTGGTTCATTGAAGTTCAATTTAAAAAGTCACTGGACCCATCAAAAGTTGGTCAATAGCTCTTTCTCAACTAGCATTACATTGATTATGCAAGAATACGAACTACAAGGCCATCATTATGTCTTTTAAGTTGAATCACCATAAAATGTTGAACTTTAAATTGAAGCATTATAGTTCAAATTCTGTGGAAGTTACCCATTTCAAAAAAATAAAAAAATAAATTCAAATTCTGTGGGCATAATCAGATATATTATAGCAATCTTCTCTAATTGAAAATTCAAGAACTATTTCCTTGCCTTTTGTATCAACTGCTGTAGTTCTGCTTGTTTTTTTTACAGTTTATTCCGTTTGATACGTTGAAGCTAACTAAAAAAAAACCTTTTGAATGTGTGAGATGCAGCTTCAGCGGATGCTTGTAATGAATTAATGGCTTATTCCTTGATACTGTCCTGCTGTTGTTACACATGTTGCATCAGAAAGAAGCTTCGGAAAAAGCTAAACATCAGGGTAAAGAGAAAGAGTTATTTAAAAAATAAGTACCTGATCATACATGCTGTGTCAACTCATGTGCACTGGTGATTTTCTTTTTCTTTTCTTTTCAGGGAGGTTGTGTTGATGATTTTCTTTCTCATTTAATGTGCTGTTGCTGTGCTCTTGTCCAAGAATTGCGCGAAGTCAAGATACGTGGGACACATGGTATGCTTCACAGGAAAATTCCACTCCCTATTTCATATGTTTAGGATACTTTTTTTTTTTTTGTTTTAACAAGATTTGGCTGGGAATTGCATAGTAATTTCTAAACTTGGCTTTAAGTTCATTTTTAATAAAGTGATTCACCGATTAATGATGCAGGTATAGAGAAGACGAAAATAAGCCCTCCAACCACTCAATTCATGGAATCCTAAGAAGCTAAACCTGGCTTTTTAGCACTAAAAATATCAGAAAGCACTATACGGAGGTATGGTTCGTTGCTATTGTTACTTGATACGTGAGTTTCCTTTGTGTGTTTAAATCTTCTATGCAATAATGTTATTCTTTGATGCGCAGGTTCAGTGTGTATAAATGACCCAGAGTTGTTCATTCGTTTACATGGTTACTGGTGACTATACATGTATGTGATGTAAGAATCTGTTTTATGTGGTGTACATACAGGATTATTATGGTGTAACTATGGATGAATTTTTTGTGAAAATAAAAGATAACAACTATTAGGCTGTTGCAGTTCCAATCTTTGTTAATGTGAAGATTTTATCACACACCCCCACCCCACGCCCCCAATATAAGAAGAAAAAACACCCCCCTTTTCTGTTGTTGAGTGAACCCAAGCCATGTAGCATAAAGCCATAAATCAAGGAATAAAATTCGAATTGTAATACAAATGCATGTCTGATAAAGGCCTAGCCAGCTACTATGGTACATCAAAGTACGAGGCTTATGGTCAATAGGTGGGAATAATGGGATGAAAATCATAGGAGATCATGGTTAAACTTTCACGAAGACAAAAAGATTAGTAAGTCCAGTATGGCTGATAATCTATGGGTGGCAAAATCAGTTCAAATAATCATGACCTTCCAAACCCGTTTATGTTTCGGCATGTTAATAACCTGTTTGATTTAATAACTGGACTCATTTTGACCTTCTCATTTCAGTCCATTGTAAAATTTAATAACCCGTTTGATTTAAAAACTGGACTCATTTTGACCTGCTCATTTCAGTTCATTGTAAAATTAGGCCGATATGCAATTCAAATTGATCTATAAGAAGTTGCGAAACTATGTAGTTTTTAAAGAAATATTTTTTTATTTGATATGTTTTCTGGTAAAAAGTTTTATTAGGTACTCAAATCTTAGTAAGAATTGAACGGATTGACTTATAATCCACTTTTAAGCTCATTAACATGAAACAATTTGCTAAAGATGAATATATGAAAAGAAGTATAGAACAAAAGTTTAGCGGAATGCAAATTTGAGCAATTTCAAATACTATAGTACAGGAGCAAATATTGATCGTCCCCTTTGTACAAAATCATATTGTCAACGAGACAAATATGAAACAATTTGCTTACGACAAATGTCCTTGTTCTAAAATGTGAAACAGTAGTCACCAAAGTTACAATACAATTGTAACTATTTTTTCATCCTTAACTAGAAATTACGGATTCAAGTCTTGAAAATGAAGTCGTCTTAACAAAGAGCGTCATGTATGTATCAAAGTGGAACTGAATTTAGATTAGTCAGATCCCAAAACGGGATGGGAAGAAGAGAAAGGATGAAACAGTGAAGGTGTCGTTTTCAAGTAACAGCAAAATTTTAATGCTTCTAATCAACTGCTACTAAGGTTTGGTGAGAAATATGTATAAAAGACTTCTAACGAAAAAAATAATCCATATAGTCCGGAAAGACTTTTCGCATGTCTAAAAATATGAATACAAGTGTGACAGTTCAAGCAACATTATCAATTCATAATTTCCAAGTAACATAGACAATTTTAGGAACTCAAAAAATACATTTATGTGATACACATGACTTAAATAAATAAGTTTAAAAAGTTAGAACTCAACAGTTGCATGTCATAAAATAATGGTTAGAAGTTGCACTCTTTGTTGGTGCTACTCCTTTGTTGAAAACAAAAAATAAAAATCTAACCACCCTTCCAACCCACGCAAATTAACATAACAACCACTATTTCCTTGACCTTTCTCCTATAATAAAATCAAATCCCACATTAAAATGTTTCATCACTCTTCTTCTAAACCCAAAATGGCTTTCAAGAAATTGCTTATCTCAATTTGTACTTTCAAGGATGTGTTGATGTTAAAGGTGATTCAAGCCAGTAATAATAGTCAGAATAAATCAAGAGTTCATCATGAAGTGGCTGGTGAAAAGTGTTGTGTGTGCTTATCAAGATTGAAGGATGGAGAAGATAGTAGAGTGTTGCCTTGTTTACATGAATTTCATCGCGAATGTGTCGATAGGTGGTTAAATGGTGCACGGAGAACGTGTCCTGTTTGTAGGTTTTCGATGGAAGATAGAAAGAAATTGTGTCTAATAACAGAGGATTTAACAGAGGAGATGGTTATATGGTTTTCTTCTTTTCATGTTGCTGGCTTCTGATCAACTGTAAATATAATAATATGTTGATAATGTAGCAGTGCGAAGAATTGCCTAGTCACTATATTTGGTCACGAAACATTGGAATCATAAAGAGAAGTCACAAATGCTTTCTCTAGTTCTCCATATGAATCATCTCAGTTCCTCAACAGGCCTAGTCCCTAAATCCCTAAACTAAATAGGACACTTATAATCGCGATCATGCTGTATCAGCTCTTTTTTGGGGTGCATTGATTTCTAGTTTTCGTTGTACACCTTTTGATACTTTAAATTGTCAATGGTATTGTGAAAACAACATTTTAATTAATTTTTCCATATAAACAGCGAAAAGAAAAAAAAAAGTTCCGTTACCGGGAATCGAACCCGGGTCTCCTGGGTGAAAGCCAGATATCCTAACCGCTGGACGATAACGGAATTTGATGTTATATAAGTTGAGAATATGTTACTTAAACAAACACTGTCTTTTTTTTGTTACACACTAGATTCTTGGTAACCAATTAACACACAGAATAACATCAGTTAAAACTTATTTACAAAGTATTGAAGATAAGAGTTGTAACTGAACCATACACCAATCGATTTGATTTCTGATTTTGATTTGTACGTCAAAATAATTGAATTCAAACCTATATATGAAGTTCCTTACGAGTTCACATGAATTTAAAATCTACTAAATTCTGTTGAATCAAACAAAAAATACACTTTTGTAAAGGAATAATTTGCCTAGTTTATATATAGTTTATTAATTGAAATATATTGAATTGGAGTAGTAATAATTTCCCTATAGACACTTTTCAACTTTTTTTTGTCACTTTACTTTCCACTATAATGCAATATTGATCTCCAACTTAAACATGGTACAGTCGATTGACTTGACTGGACCTAGAGCCGTCAAAATGGGCTTAGCCCATGGGGCCGGCCCAACCCTACCCGTTAGTGGGGTAAGGTTGGGATATGATTTTTCAAGCGCATTTAAAACTAGGGCTTATAATCCCGGTCTATATAAGCCCTTGGCCCTTGAGGCTTGATCGGGGTTGTGCCAGGGTCGGCCCATGGGCCAAAACTTTTTATTCAACAATAATTTACAATAATCTTACTAGTATAAAATCTAATAATTTGAATACACGCTATGTTGTAATATTATGAATCTTCGTACCCAGATACATGTATCTCGAAATATATGGACTTAAAATTAGGTTAATTCGTTCTAGATACACTCTATCAAAGTAGATTCGCATGTATCTAGGATACATATACAAAACTCGCACCCTCGCCTCCCTCCCATCTTGCTTGTCACTCTCTTATCTCACTCGCATATCTGGTATGCGAGATACATGATAATTGCACTAAATTTTTGCTAGTGTTATTGAAACAACACCACTATTTGTCATATTTGATTTGAAAATCTTCTCATTTTCTTGATGTTATAGAATTAGAAGTTTGAAAAGAAAAAAAAAAGGCTAGCCCGCCCCAGCCCTCGGCCCTTCTAGGATTGGGTTGGATTGAGCATTTTCAGGCCCTACCAAATGAAGGACCAGCCCGCCCTAGCCCTTCAAATTCCTTGTCCCGCGAAGCTTGGGCTGGGTGGGACTGGGACGACTCTTTTTGATAGCTCTAACTGGACCATACATTTTAACTTTAATTGTTCCAATCAAAACTTGTGTTGTAGTATATAATTGATGCAACAAAAGAGAAAAAGAAAGAGCAGATTCACATTCAATTATATAGTGAAAAAAAGACAATTGGCCCACATTAACATCTGTTGACCACAATTGGCTAAGGTTCCAATAGACATGGATGAGGATGAGGATGACTCTATGGCCCTTGAAAATGACTCCACTCTTTTTGTGTTTTCTCTTACGTCATGTATCCTTTACTTCGAAGTAAGGTTATTTCTAATATTACAGTCACTCTATCCCAATTTACGTAACATATATAGGTGAAAATTTAAAATTCGAACTTCTAAGTTTTGATAGTAAATTCCAACACGAATGCTTTAAGTTTGCGTAAACAAATTGAATCCCAAATTTCATATTGGAATTACTACACAGTAAAGACTGGTAAAAATCTAAATCATTGTTTCTTCATGATGCACTTGAGCCGAGTCTTTCGAAAACACTCTCTCTAGCTACTTTTTTGAGATAGTGATAACGTCTGCATATACTTCAATTTACTCTCTCCAAACTCTACATAGTGAATTTTACTGAATATATTGTTATGATAAGGATTGTGAATAAATGTCCAATTTCACGTACACGGCAAGACCATCATTCTTTGTTGAAAGTAATACGTCAAAATGCAACAAAAAGAGCATCAAACATCACCATCAAGTAACATAAGTACTAATAATATGGAGGAAGAAAGAAATAAATATTCCTAGCAAAACATTGGGCTAAATTAGTGACAGTGATGGCACAACAGAAAAAAATATATATATATATGAAAGTGATAGGCAACATGAGAAACAATTTCTACCCCAAATAACATATGATTCCAAACTTTGGAGTGTATGATGCTCTACTACACATACTCCTTATTCCAACCCAACATATTAACAAATTGCAATAAAAGACAGTACCACGTTACACGAGGCCTCACCTTCTCCCAACCACTCACTTTACTTTTTTCTCCTTCATTTAATATTCAAAATTCACTTGTCCAAATTATTCTTAATTCCCATAATGTAGGGTTTACTTATTAGGGAAAAATATCATTCATCTTGACCAAAACCTTTTTTACCTTGAAATTTTCTATTCAACGAAATCACATTTTTGAGGTAACCACCATTATTACTACAAGAAATAAAGGTTTTTCCATCATGAATTAATAAAAAATTTATGTTATTAAATTTGATTCTTTTTCACTTCATTACCATCAGACTAGTTTGCTAAAAAAATGTATAGTAGTAAAGAAATTTTCATTAAAATACTGAAAAGTGTCACTAATATTTTTTCTTTTCTACTATTTCAATCATCTGAAATAGTCACTAAACATTTATCAATGAGGGTTTCATAGCAATAGTGATTTTTTTTAATAGTGTGTTAGTGAAGGGATGAGAAGGATTCAATTAAAACTTCTTTGCTAGAAAATTGTATTTTGCGAAAGGGTTGAAAATGTGAAATCATATTATCTATGTACCATTTATAACAAATTATTTGATTATTGATTAGAGTTATAGATAGGGGTGTGCACTATTCGGATTAAACCGAATAACCAAACCAAATTAAACCGAATTTTTATTTGGATTGGTTTGGATTAATAAATTACTTTGTTTGGTTTTTTGGTTTGGTTTCGAATTTTAAAAAATAAAAAACGAAAAATTGCAAAAACCGAATAATATATATATATATATATAATGTTTAGGTTTAGAATTAAGTTGGAGTTAACCGCTTTTGTTCCTTTTTGGTTATTGTCTTTCATGATGATTACATTTATAATTTATGTTTGAATTACATATATAGTAGGTATACTTATATGTATTGTGTTTTAAGTTTTACTTACGATTTATATTAGAAAGAATATTTAAGGGATTAAATATTATTACTTTGGTTATATATGTTATTAATTATTGACATAACCGAATAACCAAATTGAAAAAGTCTAATCGAATAGAGGAAAACCAAACCAAACCAAATTTATTTTGGATCGGATTGGGTTACACTTTTACAAAACTAAAAATCAAAAATCCAAACCGAATAGTGTAAAACCAAATCGAAAAACCAAATGCACACCCCTAGTTATAGAGATTTTAATAATATAAGAACTAATTACTCAAAATTTTTGTTATTTTCTTTGTATATCCCTACATAAATTAATTTATAATTTAAATATATTTTATTTAAACTTGTGAGATTATAAAATGATGACCAATTACTCAAATTAATTTCCTTTAAAAGAAAGAAAAAGAATACCTGTTTGGATTGATTTAGGGCTTTTGATTACTTTTTTTTTGTTATTTCAACTTCTAAACAAGTGCTTACCCAAACAAAAACAAACACTATAAAACTGCTGAAAAACGATTTTAGCTTAAAATTATTTAAAATAAGTCTATTCAAATGACAAGTCACAAATAACATGCCAGCCAAATTTAGATAGAAAGGATTGGATGGAACAGATGAATAGCTACAGAAATACGAATTCCAGCTTGTTTGCTGGTGATTGTTTTGATTGCCATAAAAGACTAAACCGTCTTTCTATTTTTCCCTTCTTATTTTGAAGGGAGGCTACCTTGCTAGTCATACTAATATTCATCGGCTCACAAGGCCACCATCAAAACAACAGTCAATTCATATTACAAACAAAAAAACCGCAAAATGGGAATTGTCGTTCTTAATACTCTAATGGTAGAACGACAAATTATAATAAGAGGCCTTTCTTTTCTCAAAATGGAGCGGTTGACGTCCGATGAAGAGAGTTCTTTTTTGGAACTTGAATAGCTGCAGCTAAGAGTAACTGTCCAAATTAAGAAAAACATCAATCAATTCTGAGTCATTTATTTGTTTGTTCTAATTAAAGAAAGTCATTAGTTATAAACAGAATTTAAAACATGGTGTAATAAAAGATAAAAGGACCTGTTGCTGCTGCTTCTTGAGCCTTGCATTTTCTTCAACTAAATGTGCCACTTCCGTCTCCAACTCATTCAAATAGGCCTGCAAAAATCATCAATGGCCAAAAAAAGAAAACAGAGAAAATCAGCAACATAGTTTATCTGTTGTGTTTTTATAAAGAAACATAATTTATTGCTAAAAATCGACAGGACAACAGAAAAGATTTATACTAGAACAAATGATGATTAAGATAAAGAGAGTGTCACTTTCCTGCTTTCTAGCTCTTGATCTAGAAGCAGACTCTCTGTTCTTGATCATCCTCCGATTTCTTCTGTCCCCTGTAGAATTGTCCTCTGTTTCAGGGACAACCCTTTTTCTTCCACTAACATTTGGTTGGTGCAAGATTGAGTTTTGCCTTAAAGGGTTATCAAAGAAATGAAGCTCTGGAACAGAGTTCAAATTCAGCATAGTTGTAGCTGAAACAGGGGAGGCTGCTGCTGCTGAAGATTCATTAGCAAAAGGCCTAGCCAAAAAATCTTGTAAAATCATTCCACCAAAATTAGCACCTTGATGATTATGATCATGAAGATGATGTTGATGATCTTTAGAGTAATTAGTAGTGTGATCTTGAAGTGAAGAAAGATTAATATCTTTCCACACTTCTTCCATTGTTTTGAGTCTTGGAGAAAATGGGGAATGAGATGAAGATGAAGATGAAGAAGACCTGCTTGATGACCACATAATTGGATTCTTGAAAAAAAAATACTATATAGAGAACAAAGAGAGGAGAATGTACTCTTTTTATGTTGAACTATTACTACTCCCTCCGTCCCTTTTTAGTTGTCCACTTTAGAAATGACACACAGATTAAGGCAACAATGATTAGCACAGTGAAGTTACAATTTTACCCTTATGACAACTTTTCACTTCAAAATTACAACCACTTATTTGAATTAAAGTGAAATAAATTGGAGGGAAACAACATACACTTTTACAATTTTCAAAAAGTGTAAATAAGGGTATAATAGGAAAAAATTTGTTGTCCTTTCTTGATTTGTCAAAATGGACAACTAAATAGGGACAACTAAAAAAAAAAATATGGATAAGTAAATAGGGACGGAGGGAGTATTTCTTTCTAGTAGTAGTACCATTAACTAGGGAGCAATCTTGATAAGAGAAAATTGCTGGTGTTGTCATGTCGGAGCGGTAAGTACAATAATCTACTTGACACTTTGGCGGTGAGTTTGTACTATTTCTTCATAAAGTCACCTTAAAAACGTACCAACTTGGGTTAACAAGACATATGAACTGAGTTTTTGTTTCAAGAGTGAACTTGTTTATCAACCAATTTCATTTCAACTGGTAAAACTGTTGGTCAAATATTAAAAACAACTTACATTAATAAATAATGTAGTAAACTTTATATCCTTTTATGAAGTACAACTACCTAGTCCTAGTCTCCTAGACCCCCCCACCACCACACACACACACACAAATAAAAATACCTGCTTTCAGCATATCATGTTTGTATATTATCAAGTAAATATCTCAAAAGGTCATTCAACTTTGAAGAGTTCTCTTGTAAAGTCATTCAACTTTGTTTTGTATTAAAAAAATCACTCAACTTTGAGTTTTGCTTTTATAAAATCACTCAATCAAATTTATTATTAAAAAAATAATTTGACATGATAAAATAAATTAATTGTTTTCCTGAAAATCTCAATCATTTATATGTTTTTCTTCTTTTCTTTTACTATTTTTTTTTGCAATAATTACAAAAAGAATTACTCCCTTTTCAAAAAAAAGGAAAGAACCGTAATTAACAATAAACGTCTTCATGAAGAATCCTCCAACAAGGTTTCTCTCAAGTCTACTAGCAGGCAGCACCTAAAGAAGGAAATTATAGTCTAAACATAATCTCCTCTTTGATTTGTAATAATCCAATTAAGTTCAAAATCATTAATATTATGCAAGTAAATATAGTAACTGTTTAGTATGTATAAAATCTCTCTCTATTTACCAAAAATAAAAAAGAAAGATATTTGAGTAAAGTTTTTATTTATGGAAGAGAGAAAAGAGGAAAACTCAAACTCAAGCAAAAAAGTTTTATCATGTTAAGTAATTTTCTTATAATAAATTTAATTGAGTGATTTTATAAAAAGAAAACTCAAAGTTGAGTGATTTTATTGATACAAAACAAAGTTTAATGACTTTATAAGATGAATCCTCAAAGTTGAATGACATTTTAAGATTTATTATCATAGAAGATTTAATGTTGTAGCTCATACTGTAGTTAATTTTTTAATTTCTTTGTTGTCTGATTTTATTTTTTTTGGGAAAGTATTTCCAAGTTGGATGGTAAATGATGTTGAATGATCCTTTGGATATATTATGTCTATAATGGATTAATATATGACAGTTTTAGGCGAAAAAAATATCATTGGAAAAACATGTGTAGGCATTTTGACAACATGTAAAAAGGGACAAAATGGCTCTTGCTCAATTGGTTTTTGATATAAAAATATAGGTCAAACACAGACCTTAAATTTATTTCTAAATTTCATTTTGACATTCTAACTCAATCTTATTTCATTTTGACATTCTAACTCAATCTTATTTCATTTTTAACCCTTCAACTCTAACTCTTATGTTTCATTTTGACACTTCTTTCCAAAGAATCAATAAAGTGGGATTTGTGTATTTTACATGCCATGACATGAAACAAAGGCTTAAGTTATCCACGGTCTATTAAAGTTTTTCGCATATTTTATTTAGATACCTTAACTAGGACTATTACTTATTGAACGATTAAATTATTCAAAAAATGTACCTATCAAACACAAAATGCTGATGTGGCAAAAGAAATGTTTTTCACTTCCTATGGGTGCGTGAAAGTTTTTGAAATACAGTTTTATTTTTATTTTTTCCAAAAAAACTTACATTTTTTCTTCTTTAATTGACATTTGGCATTTAAATAAATTAAAATATTTTTTTAATATTTTAAAAAAATTATAATTCTTAATTCAAAAAAGAAAGAGCACCCCCCCTCCCCGCCCCCTCAAGTCATCTTCTTCCTCAAATTTAAATTTTCAAAAACAACTAAAGAATCTCCATTTTTTTTTGTTTTTTTCTTTTTCTATTTCTTTTCAACATATATTAAAAAAGCTGAATCAAGTAACTGAATTTGCAAGAAAAATAACGAAAGTAGATTTTTGGACATTGGGATAAAACAAAGTAAGTCAACGTTCCATCTTCATTTCTGATCACCTTCGATTAAATATTACCATTCAGATAAAATTGTAAACTCACTAAACTTATCAAAAACAATATCAAATAATTCACTAAATTAATTTAGGTCCTCTTGATTTCTCCTTACAATCGATTTCAAGATGATTAACCATTGGAAAGCTTCCTTTATTCATCACTCTTGTACCAACTCTTTGAATATCTTTCTCTATCACGTATTACGAATGAAAAATAATTTTCGATAAAATTAATTTGGGTCCTTTCGATTTTTCTTTGCAATCGATTTCCGAATGAGTAACCATTGACAAACTTCTTCACCACTATTATATCAATCTTTTTGAATATCTTTCTCTCTCACATATTAGGAATACAAAATATTTATTTAAAAAAATCGAATCTGCAAGTAATTTGCAATAGGTGTGGTTTGAGAAAAAGATGATGAGAAGAAGATGAAGAAGAAGAAAGGGGGTTGGGTAGGGTGGGGTTGTGTAAAATGGGTTGTCATTTCATTTATTTTTTTATTAAGAAATAGATATAAAATTTATTTGAAATAATTTTCATTCTTTTTAACATAAAAAAAAAATCTATAATTGTTGGGGTCAATTGACACATGTCATCTTTTAATTAGTCATTTTTGCCAAATAACACCACATTTTTTTTATTCGTATCTAGTGTATTTGGACTAACTCAAATATCATCTTTCTAATTTTTCATTCAACTAAATACGAGTAAAAAAAAACTCATGTTCATTGCTAATTAATAACACTACAAAAAAATATTGAAACTCGATAGACTTCGTTGGGTTGTCATTGATTTTCTTAAGAAAGAAAATTGACGCACTTTTGTCGGTTATTTTTCACGCAAAAATATAGGAAAACTCTCAAAAAGAAATTGTTACTTTAAAAAAATAAAATCAATGATCATCCGTCAATTTTAATTTTTTACAATAACTAACGGATGAACGCCGATTTTTAAAATGCAAAATTGCAGTTGAATAACATATATAAAAATAAAGAAATCATAAAATTATGATTTTGTGTTAAATGGTACATAAAAAAATAGAATTGAAGGGTAATTTTTTATTATTTTTTTAAAAAATATTTTTTTTTGTCTTTCACTATCTTAGAGAAAGTGTGATGCACACACTTTGCCACATCACTTAGAAGTGCCAAAATAGAGCATAAAAATTGGAGTTGAAGTGTTAAAATGAAACAAGGTTGAGTTGGAGTGCCCAAATAAAATTTAGGAACAAGTTTAAGGGTCTATATATATGTTTGGCCAAAAATATATTATGTCCAACTATTAAGATTAATGAAAATAAAATGTAAGAATAACGAGTAAACACTTTAACTTTGAGCGTGAATATCTGCACATTTTTTAACTTATTTATGCCAAATTTGAATGTCTGTATATATGTCATGAAGTAATTAATAATAATGACAAAATTAGCCTACTCATTACCAAATTAGTTTCCTTTTTTACAATCTGTAGCATCAATATACATGAATTCATCTGTCGTTAGCATAAAAAGGTGGAATCATCATAATTCAAAGGTGTCCATGTGCTTTTGTTTCAGTGATTTTGTGTTTTTGTCACTATTTTTTGTTTGTTATACTTCCACTATGATTTTCAATTTTTGACTATACTTTCACTTAAATTAAACAACTCAACATCATAAATAAATAAACAATAGTGACTTTTCCTCTCTTCTTTTGCGAAAAGAAACAACCAATTTTAACAAATTGTCAAAAAAAATTGGCCAAACGAACTATCAAAACTCCAATTATATTGCGTCGTTCTAATTCTATGCTAGCCTGCTTCTACCACATAGATGAAAAAGTTAGACGAGTTGTTTTTCCTACTAGGTCATGTAATCTATTTTATGAAAAGAAAGTTACTCCCTCCATTTCAAATTAATTGAATTCTTGAGATATTTCACTCTTTAAAAGAAGAAGATTAAGACATAAATTAGACATAACTTTCCATTTTTACCCTTATTAATTATTACTCCCTCCATTCCATATTAAGTTAATTTTTTAGACATATTTCAAATTAACTTAATTGAAGCGTTAATCCTTACCAACTTGATCTTGTTGCTCCGGGCAACAAACATGCTGTTCAGTTTTTAAAACTACTTTTAGAACGTTCTTCCAATTTTACCCTTTATTAGTTAGTATTGAAATTAGTGATTAATTAATATTTAGTTATTTTAATCATAAATTTGACAATAATTGATAAGGATAAAAATAGAAAATTAGGTTTAATTTATGTCTTAATCTACTTTTGTTAATGGGTGTGAAACATCTCAAAAATTAACTTAATATGAAATGGAGGGAGTATCAAATTTATGATTAAAATAACTTAACATTAATTAAAAACTAATTTCAATACTAACTAATGAAGGGTAAAATTGAAAGAACATTCTAGAAATAGTCTTAAAAATTGAACAATTAAGTTAAGTAATTTGAAAAATGAAAAATATCTCAACAATTCAA